CTAGATGTAATAGGTCCTCATATAAAATGCTGAATTGTATGTGGTGGCCATGAAGGGATTTGATTCCTCTGCTCCCGGGCTCCACCTGCTGGTCAAATTGTAGTATTACACGCACAATGCATTTGACTTAGAAAAATATATATTAGGAACATTTGTTTTTTGCTATTATTCACCCAAAACAAATGTTCGCAGTTTATAAATAGAGCCCCCTGTGTGTTATATTTTATAAAAATACAAAACATCCGTTTATAAACTGAAAAAAAAAATGAAATGAAGCTCCACCTCCAGCTTATAAAGAAAACTATAAATGGAATTACCCCGAGCAAGGTAAAAAAACAAACAAACCTCTTGCTGCTGCAATACTCCCGCTATCTTCAGCGCTGACCCCTGCAGCCTCATCACTTTGTCATCCCTCTTCTTCTAGGCTGGATGACGTTCAGCATCATTCTCGTGAGCCCAGGTTGTCATGGACCCCTCCCCATCCCCAGGGTGTGTTATCAAGCTGCTCTTCACTTACAAGCTACATAGAACCTCCCCCTTACATCATTACATGATTGATGTTCCCTGCAGCCTTCAGGAATGCCCACTGGACAGAAGAGGACCAATAACGTTCCTTGACTGGCCAGAAGACATCACAATCAGGGGTGTCCCGAGGCCGGGTGTCACCCGGAGCGGCTACTGGCTGACACCTTATTGATACCTGCCGGCGGCCATCTTGGTGATGGATGGTAGCACTAGAGAGGAGGGGACAGTCACCCGGCGGGATGAGGTATGCCGCTGGGTCCCCACCTCTCTCCTGAAGCTGTTGGGCGTTCGGTCATGGACTTTCCAGCAGAGGGGGGGGGGGGGGACATCAAAATGCCTGCCAGTCATTTTGGTGTCACCCCTCCAATGGTGTCGCCCGGGTGCGGGCTGAAGCCCCCCTTGTGACGCCACTGCGCACAATGCCATGAAACAGTGTGGTGTCCCTTAAAGGGCCAGCGTTCTCTTTAATATGCCTGACTGTATCTGTATAAGAAGGGAAAGCCGCAGATCGTTACAGAAAATATTTATTAAATCTACACAGTTGTCGGGATTGATCGGTTTTGTGCATTACATTAGATTGCAGCGGTTCTCTAGGGCGGATAGAAGCCCCAGAATTACGCAGTTTTCAGTTTCTCGCTCTTCTCCGCCTCTATGGCCTGAACCCGCTCCCGCTCTTTGATCAGCTGAACTCCACAATACGTCACGAACCAGATGGACAGCGTGCTGTACGGGAACCCTGGAGGAGGAAAAAACCCGTCAAACATCTGTACAAAATATAAATCAAGGCAACTGGACTTGTTGTATTTCACTGAAGACGTTTTGCGGGTCATCCGACCAGCTTTCCCAATTCAGAGAAACTTTCCGAATGGAGAAAGCTAGCCGGATGACCAGCAAAACGTCTTTAACCACTTGCTGACCGCGGTGTTACACCCCCTTCCTGTCCCGGCCATCTTTCAGTATTCAGAGCTGCGGTACTTTGACTGACATTTATTCCGTCATGCAGCGCTGTACTGAAATGAATTTTATACCATTTTTTGGGGACAGATAGAGCTTTATTTTGGTGGTATTTATTCACCACTGGGGGCGGGGGGGGGGGGTTATTTTTTACTATATTAAGGAAAAATTACCGAAAATTAAAAAAAAAAAAAAAACTGTTTCCCCCCTATATTAAATTCTAAAAAATGTATTATTATCCAATTTTTTGGTAAAATATAAAAGTTGGGGTCACGTCGGGTAAATAGACACCAAACATGTCGAGCTTTAAAATTGCGCGCACCCGTGAAACCTCAAAAAACTACAATACCCAAAATTGCTCTCACTGTGATATGTAACATGTGTAGCGCAATTGTCGTTTTCGCTCGCTGGCGCATCTGACGTGTATTTACGTTTATATGTGTGTAAATGTGGGGGTGGGGGGAGTTAAAAATTTGGGGTTTCTAAAACTTTTCTTTATATGTGACAAGGGGCGAAGGGGGTTCTTCACAGTAAGATCAGTTAGGGTCTGGAACTCACTGCCACAGGCGGTGATTTCAGCAAATAATGTGGAATTGTTCAAGAAACTTTTGGACGATTTCTTAAGGGACCGTAATATACAGGGGTACGGGTAATATACAGGGGTACAGGTACTCCTAGAATGAGATCCTAATAGGTTGGACTTGATGGACTAATGTCTTTATTCAACCTCAAATACTATGTAACTATGTGACTTTTATTTTTATGTTTTACTTTTTTTTTTTTACACTTATTGTTATTACTATCACATAGGAGTGATAACAATCCCCTTGTTCAGCAAGGAGGAAGATGCTGACCTGCCTCCCATCTTACCTCCTGACACCCTCCCGAGCCGGTCCCGGGCCGCAGATGGGGCAGCGGATCCCGGGATTGAAGGTGAGGGTGCAGGAGGGTGGGGCGGCAGCGAGACGGTGGCACTGGAGGAGGAGGGGGACACGCACAGGCAGCACATTCAAGCGATCGCTTGTATGTGAAACAGCCGCTAACGGCTGTTTGCAGTAGACAGTTTTTCTCTGCCCGCCCGCTAGGGGGCGCGCACGAGCAGAAAATAAAAGTTTATTTACGGCAACCCGTCAATGGGAGTTTGCATTTATTTTATACAGATACCCCATGACCTGGATGAAGGAGAAGCTTCACAGACAAAACTCGTCAAAGAACTGGACGGAAAGTCGCTCGATTGATGATTGCGCCCGGGGACTGCGCGTCAGTAAACGTTTTGTTATTGAATTGCAGGACATAGTGATGAATGATCTGCTGTCTGTGGAGGTTCTCATCTCTCCAGGTCATGATAGACCTAGTAGTCCTTCGTAACATTCAACTGGACTTGTTCTGAAATCCTGAAGGAGTTTTGTAGCTTCTCCTCCAAGCCACTCCTGGCCACTCCAAGCCACATGACTGGTTGCAAGGAGCTGGGCAGGATGCCAATGGTGCAATATGTTCTAGATACGTCTCTGGTTCCCTGGGGGAGGGGTTCTGGTGGGGTTGGGTTTATGAATGGGGAAAATGTTCTTAAAGGAGAACTATGAGGCGAGTGAAAATCACTCATCCTCATAGTTAGAGCCGACGTGTGACATTGAAACTGATCTATAGATCAGGAAGTGAGTGAACACATACCGTCACTCGCTCACTTCTCGATCATCTCCCTGCAGAGAGCCGTGACTGTCACTCAAGGCTCCCTGCAGGGAATGCCTCTCTCCCCTGTCTGATCCTCCAGTGCCGACTGGTGGAACGGACGGGGGAGGGGGCGGGCACAGCTGGCTCTGCCTCTAGATAGGCAGAGCCAGCTGTCACTCACGCAGCTGGGCGGATCCAGACAGTAATGTCGGGATCCGCTCCGGCTGCGGCGGTCTCAGTATACCGCGAGCTGTAGCTCGCGGTATACTGAGCTTTGGGTGACGGGAGGACGCTAGTTTGTGTCCTCCCATGACCCTTAGGAGAACTATGGGGAAAAACACTTACCACATAGTTCTCTTTTAAAGCTAAATAAGGGGTACATAGCTCCTATGTAAGTCAGTCTGCACATATGTGATAATGGCGCTCTCTATGACAATGGTGACGCATGTACGTACCTGTGATGATGATCCTCTTCGCTACCAGTATAGCAAATTCCAGGCTGTTCAGGGCTAAAATATTGTACAGAATGATGGCCCAGAAATTGGCGGCGCCGAATATCCCCCGGATCCTCCGGGACATGGACTCGGGTAAGGAAGCCTGGAGGGAGAAGCAATGTAGACAGGTAGTCACTTATTATATTTATACATATCTATCCTACAAAGCGATCCAAAGTGACGAGGATAAGCGGGGCAGAGGATGGAATAAATCCAGAACCTCCCGTCCACAGTGTGTGGCGACTCCAACTCATAATTCAAGGGGCTGATTTACAAAAGCTTTCGTAGAGCTGGCCGAACGTTGTTCTAATGGCATTACTGCCGCTTCATAGGAACTTCCTGTGCTCTTCGGCTCCATCTAGTGGCGGCAGTGCTTTGTGATCAGCGTTCATCCATCTGTACGCTGGGCGAAGCTTTTATAAATTAGACCCTAAGGGGGGTTATTCACTATGGAGCCGAAGGAGCCAGCTGTGGCTTTGGCAGATCCTTCGGCTCACTTCGGCCAGCTGAGCCCTTCGGGTCAGTCTAACCGAAGGGCTGCTGCACGGGCTTTTCACTATAGCCCGTTTAGCAGTTGAAGGCAGCCGAGCAGCTCAGCCGAGCCCAAGGCATATGCTGCGGTTCGACTGAGCCGAAGTGACAGCCAAAGCATGGAGAAAGGTCGGCCGAAGCCGGCCGATCTCCATGCAAATGACAGCTGGGCGGAACCAGCCAGGATCTCACGGCTTGCTACGCCCAGTTGTAATGACAGATCAGCCCCAAATGACCTGGCGACGCTGATCTGTCATTAAACAATAACAACTGGGCGAAGCCGGCCGTGGCGTCCCGACCGGCTCCGCCCAGTTGTTATTCATTGGCCGGGACCTGCTAGAAGACTCTGGCAAATGCCAGCATTGGAGCTAGCATTGATGTCACCGCTAGGTCCGCCCAATTGTTTATATTTTGCTGATATCTGTCAGATTTGACATTATGTGGCGGGAGTTCGAGGCGTGCGGCCGGCATGCTTCGTTCTTTTTTTATATTTACATTTTTTTCCATTTTTTTAACTTATTTTCCCCATTTAACTTTTTTTCTATTCTGCTCGCTACCTCGGATGTACCGAGCAGAATAGCCGAGTCGACTGCCGCGCGGCGGCATTCGGCTATTCACTTACTGCCGTTCAACCCCTATGAGAATAGGGGCGAACAACAGCGAGTGAGCTGCCAAAACTTCGGCTCAGCCGATCCAGAAGTTGTTGTATCGGCTGAGTCGAACTTCTTCTTGTTGGATCGGCTGAGTCGAACTCCTTCTGCACTTCGGCTCAGAGAACATGCAGAGCATGTTCGGCTGACCGAAGGCAGCCAGAGGCAGGCAATGTACGGCTGATTTTAGCCGATGTACAGCAGAAATCAGCCGTACAAGACAGAAGTGAATAACCGAACGGCGTTTTGCTCACTTCGCTTCGGCTCGGTCATTCACTCGGCTGCCTTTGGCAGCTTTGTGAATAACCCCCTAAGTAATGAGACCTGAACTATGTATGCTGTCCATGGCGCCCTGTGCGGCCGCACTGCTCGCACACCCCTAAGGCCGGCCCTGCTGATAAGGACTTCTGACTCTCCTAATACAGCTAAATGTACAGCGGGGAAGCCGCGGCTTGTTTTGTACAAGTGATCTTGGCGATGTCGCTGAGATCACTTGTATGCAGCCTGCGGGTCTGCCATTCTCCATGGTGAGGGGGGGGGGGTTGGAATTTTAGGGGGGCGCATTGAGGAACCTGGCAGCAGAGAGAGAAAATCCGGCCCTGTACATAAGTGTTACTCCTTCAATGTATAAAGTATTGTGGCCATTGAATCAGAATGATTGCCAGGACACAAGCACCTCCAAACGTAGTTCAGCAATGGCAGCCCCCAATGATTAACACATGACGGGTTTACTTTAACCAGCTGGGTCCCGGGTTCATCTCTAGGTTTGGGCAGCACACCATCTACATGGAGCTTTCTCGGGTCTTTTATTATTAGTAACAATCTCACCTCCAGTTTGGTGAATGGCGACAGCTCGAAAAATTTCTGCACCCAGAGCTCGAAGTTCAGGCCGAAACAGTTGAAAACGGACCAGATGTAGACGATGTCACAGGGGCCCAGCCACAGCGTGGTCACCAGGAACGTGAAGACGGTGGCCAACAGCTCCTTCTTGATGTTGTCGTGGCCCTCACCAAGGTAGTCGTAGACATATCTGAGCCGGAGCAATGGGGGGAGGGGGGGGTTATTATTATGATGTGATATCATGAATAAATGTACATCGGATGTGACAGCAAGAAAGCAAAACTTCCATGTTTTTGAAACTCATTTCAAAAACATATATTGAAGCTGCCTTACCTGGCGATGGAGCCAGTCGTGGGATCAGCCGGGTGACCTCAGTTTTTTATGCTGCAGTTAAGTAATGCTGTTTGGTCAGCAGCCCGCCCCTGCCTATGATTGGTCAATGAAGCAGCAGCACACTGAAGAGGACACCACTCTGCTCTTTCCTCCTGTAGGTATGTTCACACTGCTGACTGACTGCACTGAGCAAAGTAAGAGAGCCTTGATTGACTCTTAGTACTGCCCCCTCCCTCTCCCAGTGCAGGAGATGACAGGAAGATAATATTAGGAAAGATTCAGGTAGTCGGTGAAGCCGGCTGTCAAAATACAAAAGCCGCAGTGAGAGATTCCTCCGTCCATCCTGCGGAGGAATCTGTCAGATTCTTTCCTGTTCAATCCGAAAGCTGAGTGAGAAAAATCTAACAGTGTGCACCCAGCTTCAGGCTCAGAGGCGCTGACAGGTAAGAGATCTCAGACCCTGCAGAGCCCACTATAGAGAGTCTATGGTGGGCTCTGCAGGGTCACTCTCCGCTCGGGGCTCTGCAAGTGGCATGACTAGCAATCACGGGGCCCCATACAAAAATTTTGCTATGGGGCCCTGTGATTTCTAGTTACGCCCCTGCCTAGGAGCCTGCAATGAATGCTTCCAATGATGACCTCTGTGCTCTGCTTCTCCTTCATTGTCCAATCACAGACTGGCATCAAGTTGGAGATCAGAAACGAGGTCACTCACCTGTCTCAGCTGTCTGGCAAGTATGCCCAGAATGACAAGACTGGCTGAACAGAGTAACAAACCCTTGGGCAGGTACAAACCATGGCTGTCCCTTTAATGAGGCAGCCTTGGGCTGTTGCCTAAGGCGGCATCTCTTTGGGTCACATTGTGGGGGGGCAGACAGAGCAGCATGTGTAAGGGCCATATACATCTTCCTGTCCAGCTCTCAGCAAACTGGGACCCTCTGGCCAGCGTCCCGCTCAGCTCTTGGAAACCAGTGACATCAGTGATTGGCAGGAACTTGGCAGGACACCGAGCTGGGCTGGGAAGGGCGGCATCACTTAACCACCCAATAAATCTATTGATGTATGGCTGGCTTTATCCTTCTGTAGTCCAAGATAAGGACTAGGGGGGCTCTTTGAGATGACACAGAAAGTGTGGAGAGGGCACAGGAAGTGTGGAGAGGGCACAGGAAGTGGGCACAGGAAGTGTGGAGAGGGCACAGGATGGCTTGAAAATTTTGACAAGATCTTTGGCTTTTTGGACAAAACACAACGCTTCCAACTGTATATTTATCAGACCAAAAAGGGAGCAAATATGAGAAGTTGATAGTTGGGTTTCACATGCACTTTAATGAGCATCAAGGTCCAAAAACTTGGTTATCTTGCTACCAAAGTGCCCCTTTACAATGTGACTTAACGGGGGGGAATTCCCTAGAAGGTCAGCGCTGATGTGAATAGCTCAAAGTTTCTTGCACAGTGTAATGTAATATGTCTATTTTATTTCATGCCCGGGTCTGTACACCGCTGTGCCCATTATGAGGGGCTAATTTTGTTTATTGAAAATTCTTACAAACAACAACTTATATACAAGAAAACAATAATAAATAAATAAAACATATTTACAAAATAATTGAATATTACTATACAAAGCAAAAATATAATACTTGGTGCAAACCAAATTGCGCACAGCATAATCCCTACGAGAGAGCCAGACTAAGGAACATCACCGTCACCATGCATGTAGCCTCTTATCAAAAATGTAT